ATATATAATGAAAGAATTGGAGAAAATGTTCAAGAAGAGACACATTATAATCTTATTGACGTCATGACAGCAGAAAATATAATGAGAGGTAGTTGGATTAGTTTATTATTAACAAATCCCACCAAATGTGACTAACCAATCAGCAAGATTTATGTAAGGATTTCCACAAGGGTCTGGAATAAAATGTATTTTTCTGTCTAGAAGATCCAAGACCTTAGCTACAAATGGCACATTTTGAGATGTCACAATCAGATAGTTGCAATGCTTTATCTAGTATTATGTTCCAATGATAGTTTGTATTAACAAAGTTGCCTTAATATTTTGATTTCTTGCCAGAAAAGGCAGCAAAGAAAAATGTCCAGAACAGAAATGTGAAAGTTTGAAAACAGAAACTTCATAGCCTTTTCAACAAAACACAAAATCTGCTTTTGCTTTTTCTCACTTTGTGTAATCAACTTGGGGTGGGGGTGTTTGAAGTAGATCCATTTCTGTGATCTACACATTTAGGAGGCCCAATCCTAATCTTGTTCACACTGGTATAAATCAGATACCACTGAATACACAATACCAACTGCTGGGAAAGCTGGAAACAGCAACATCTATAGTTGTGATGAGCCTAAGCCTATCTTCCAAATTATATCCCTTCGTGTAATGCATTTATAGATAGACGGTATAGTATTTGCATATATGTGCACATAATGGAGCCAAATAAAAAAAACAACATTCATTTACGTTTCATGCACACCTTACAGGCTGGTCTTAGTTGTGGTGTGTAGAGTCAGCAAAGCAACGACTGAGTGGCAGAACAGAGGAATCCAACAAATTGGAAAAATGAGAATTAGATATTTTCCCGTGCTTCCTATGTTTGAATTTACCAAATCACTACAGAGGCAAATCTAAAGCATATAACTTGAGTTCACAGGCCTACCACTAAAGCAGTTTCTGTAGACAAATGCCAAAAGGTAAGGCTGGATTAAGGTTACAGGTCATGCTCCAACAGCTACAAACTTGATACAAATTGTGACCTTTTGAATGAAATTCACCTCCACAGATCACAGAAAAAAATGTTCCTTCTGCACACAGTGCTGCCTGATTTTACCAAAACCTTGTTGCTTAATTACACTATCCCTGTAAAAATCTTACAAATAGCTCACAAAACAGGGGGTGGGGTGGAAGTGAGATTTTAGCTGTTGCTGAATTTGAGTTCTTATAAATCCCAGGCAGCATGGCCAATAGTAAGTGATGATGGGAGATGCAGCTCAACTGTCACTGGAACATTCCTGTTTGACTACCACTGGCCTATATAGGTTGAGTATCCCCTATCTAAAATGCTGGGGACAAGAAGTGTTTAGGATTTTTTTTATTTCGGCGTTTGGAATACACCCCTATTTGTGGATTTGACTATTCATGTTCTCTCTGGGAACGTCTAGGTCTCCAAGCACAACTCTACAGTCAGTTCCCTCTGAAAACTGACCATCGAGTCACACTGGAGAATATAAGAGATTTGAGAACACTAATCTAGATCCTCCAGCACAATTGTATGGAAATTGGTCATAGTGTATGGTATAAGACAGGGGTCCTCAAACTAAGGCTCGGGGGCCGAATGCGGCCCTCCAAGGTCATTTACCCGGCCCTCGCTTAGGATCAACCTAAGTCTGTAATGACTTAGGTTGTACACAACAACAACAATCGTATCTCATCAGCCAAAAGCAGGCCCACACTTCCCATTTAAATACTAATAAATTTATATTTGTTAAAATTGTTCTTCATTTTAATTATTGTATAGATTTTAAGTGGTTTTTGCACTACAAATAAGATATTTGCAGTGTGCATAGGAATTCATTCATGTTTTTTTCAAATTATAATTTGGCCTTCCAACAGTTTCAGGGACTGTGACCTGGCCCTCTGTTTAAAAAGTTTGTGGACCCCTGGTATAAGATTTAGAGAGTATCCTAAAAAGGTGTTAAAAAAGTAAAGGTTTCTCCTGACATTAAGTCTAGTTGTGTCCAACTCTGGGGTGTGGTACTCATCTCCATTTCTAAATCGAAGAGCTGGCATTGCCCATAGACACCTCCAAGGTCATGTGGCCAGCATGGAGAGCTGTTACATTCCTGCATAAGTGGTACCTATTGATCTACTCGCATTTGCATGTTTTCAAACTGCTAGGTTGGCAGAAGCTGGGCCTAACAGTGGGAACTCACCCCACTCTCTAGAGTCAAACCACCAACCTTTCGGTCAGCAAGTTCAGCAGCTCAGTTTAACCCGCTGCACCACCTTGGTGCAATCTCAGTTTTAAAAAGTTTTTTTGTTAATGTTTTTTTCCACATTTCATGATGTGGGGGACTGACTATATTTGCCAAGTCTAAAAACATGCAGCTGTGTTTTATATACACCTTACACACATAGACCGAAGTTAATTTTAAACACAATACTTGTAATAAGGCAACACTGTGCATGAAACAAAGTTTGTGTACATGGAACGATTAGTAAACAAATGTGTTGCTATCTCAGCCACCCATGGGAATGATTCTGGAGGGTTTTGTCATTCTGGATAAGGGATGCTCAACCTGTAATAGAAGCACATATCCAAAGACCTCACTGGAGTGCATGCACACTGCAGAATTAAGGCAGTTCGACACCACTTTAACTGCCATGGCCCAGTACTATGGAGTCTTTGATGTTGCAATTTTGCAAGGTCTTTCGCCTTCTCTGCAAAAGACTGATGGCTCACCAAATGATAATGCCAATGATTCCATAGCATTGAGCCATGATAATTAAAGTGGTGTCAAACTGCATTCATTCTACAGTGGGGATGCATTGAGGCAACTTTTCCCACCAATTAGGCCCCACAACTGAAAATCTCAATTTGGAACAATTTCTAAAAACAGGCTCCACAACTCAAACCCTGGAGGCCGGTCCCACCCTTTGGCCTCTTTCTACTTCCTTGCCACCTGACTGTGGCTGGCTGCCGGGGAAACTCCTCAGAGGCCGCTTTCTCTCTCTCTCTCTCTCTTGGCAGAGATTCCTTTCCAACTGCTTCAAATAACCCAGATGTGGCATCCTTTGGTGACCTCCACAGACTGCCCCAAAAGTAAACAACCTAAAGACCTCACTAAACGTGCACCTTAGAATGAACACAGTTTGGCATCACTTAAATTGCCATGACCCAATGATATAGAATGGTGAAAGGTGTAGTTTGGGGAGGCACCTGTACCCTAGGGCAGTTAAAGGCCTTGCAAAACAACAACTCCCAAATTCCACAGCATTGAGTGGTGGCTGTAAATGTATCAAACAGTGTCCTTTCTACTGTGTATGTAGATGCACTTCTGGGGGAAACTGCGGGGGGACTGAGCTGAATGTGTCTCTCAATCCTGGGAGTTTAGGCCAAGGGTCCCCAAACTAAGGCCCGTGGGCCGGATGCAGACCTACAAGACCATTTACAAAGCCCTAACCTAAACTTTATAGACTAAGGATGACCTGAAGTCTGAAGCCTTGAAGGCACACAATAACAACAACAACAATCCTAACTACTTGACTCTCATCAGACATAAGCAGGCCCACACTTCCAACTGAAACACAGGGAAGTTTGTGTTGGTTCAAATTGTTCTTCCTTTTCGACATCACATTCTTGCATGCCTTTTAAATAAGATATATCCAGTGTGCATTGGAATTGGACACCACCTCAGCCCTGTTGACTTGTAAATGCCTTTTTTACTTTTAATGTTTTGAGTGTTTGCTATCATTAGATCTAGTAGTAAACATGTTCTAAATGTTTGAGTTATATATTTAAATATCTACGTTTGTTATTTTTGAGTTGTTCTAGAAGTACACCTGATGTTGTTTATTTTATTGTTTATTATTTTGTTTTGTTCGTTACATTATGCCAGCATTGAATGTTTGCCAATTTTCTGTTGTAAACTGCCCTGAGTCCCTTCGAGGACATAGGGCGGTATAGAAGTTTATTATTATTATTATTTCCAAACTATAGGCTTCCCCACCAACAGTCTGTGGGACCATGAACTGGCTCTCATAGGGCGATATAGAAGTTTATTATTATTATTATTATTTTCAAACTATAGCCTGACCCACCAACAGTCTGTGGGACCATGAACTGGCTCTCATAGGGCAATATAGAAGTTTATTATTATTACTATTTTCAAACTATAGCCTGACCCATCAACAGTCTGTGGGACCATGAACTGGCTCTCATAGGGTGATACAGAAGTAAAGTTTATTATTATTATTTTCAAACTATAGGCTGCCCCACCAACAGTCTGTGGGACCATGAACTGGCTCTCAGAGGGCGATATAGAAGTAAAGTTTATTATTATTATTATTTTCAAACTACAGCGTGGCCCACCAACAGTCTGTGGGACCATGAACTGGCTCTCAGTTTATAAGGTCTGAGGAGCCCTTCCACACAGCCCTATATCCCAGAATATCATGGCAGAAAATCCAACTTTATTTGCATGTGGACTCAGATAACCCAGTTCAAAGCTGATATTGTGGGATTTTCTGCCTTAATATTCTGGGATATAGGTCTGTGTGGAAGGGCCCTGGTTTAGTCATGGGAGGCGTCCTTCCACAAGGTCTTCTCTGCCACAGAGGGCCAAACTACAACTCCCAGGACTCACCCAAAGTGGTGCCGGGCTGCACTTGTTCTATATTACTTCCTAAAAGCGGGAGGGGAGAGGATGGGCACTCTGCACATGCTCAGAGTCTTCGTACACCGAATGGGAAGAGAACTTCCTTGCTCTCTGGAAGGTCCGTCTCTAAACCTTGTCTACACCTTGTCTACAGCTCTCTCCTTCTGCCGTGTGGCTTCCCAAGAGACTGGGCACCGCAAAAGCCTTGAAGGCCGAGGACAGGAGGCTCTGAGTCTGGAGGGAGGAAGAGGCAGACAGGCAGGCAGACTCTGGACGCCTCAGCTGTGCTCTCAGCGCCGCAGCAACAGACGTCTGCCTCCTGCCACCTTTCCCCTCACTGTTGGCCCTTTTTACCTCAGCAGCAGCCGCAGCTCATAGCATGGCATGACTCCTCCAGCGGGGCGTCTCCTCCTCGCCTTCCGTCCTTCCCTCCTTCCTTCTCAGTGAGAGTAGCCCGGCGAGAGGAAGGGGGCCAAGCCTGGCAACCCCGCCCGCCAATGGGCCGGGCTTGCAGGAAAGGCCGCCCTCCCCGTTAAAGGCGCAGAGGCCTGTCCGCCAGGGAAGCGCCAAAAGGAAGTGAGGAGCTTCAGGCCGCCTCCACCTGCGGCCCTCCAGCTGCTTGGGCCTCCAACTCCCAGCATTCCTGGCCATTGAGCCAACCGGCAAGGGCTTCTGGGAAATGGAGGCCCAATCAGCTGGAGGGCCGCCCTTAGAGCAGGCCTGGAGTAATAATGAGGCCCTCCAGCTGCTTGGCCCTCCAACTCCCAGCATTCCTGGCCATTGAACCAGCTGGCAAGGGCTTCTGGGAAATGGAGGCCCAAGCAGTTGGAGGGCCTCATTATTACTCCAGGCCTGCTCCAAGGCCGGCCCTCCAGCTGCTTGAGCCTCCAACTCCCAGCATTCCTAGCCATTGAACCAGCTGGCAAGGGCTTCTGGGAAATGGAGGCCCAAGCAGCTGGAGGGCCGYCCTTGGAGCAGGCCTGGAGTAATAATGAGGCCCTCCAGCTGCTTGGGCCTCCAACTCCCAGCATTCCTGGCCATTGAACCAGCTGGCAAGGGCTTCTGGGAGTTGGAGGCCCAAGCAGCTGGAGGACTGCCCATGGAGCAGGCCTGGAGTAATAATAAAGGTAAAGGTTTTTCTCTGACATTTAAGTCTAGTTGTGTCCGACTCTGGGGGGTGACGCTCATTTCCATTTCAAAGCCGAAGAACCGACATTGTCCGCAGATGCCTCCAAGGTCATGTGGCCAACATGACTGCATGGAACACCGCTACCTTCCCGTCGAAGCGGTACCTATTGATCTACTCACATTTGGCATGTTTTCAAACTGCTAGGTTTGCAGAAGCTGGGCCTGACAGTGGGAGCTTACTCTGCTCCCTGGATTTGTACCGCCAGCCTTTCGGTCAGCAAGTTCAGCAGTTTTACTCGCTGCGCCACCAGGGGGCCCTGGAGTAATAATAATAGTAAAGGTAAAGTTTTCCCCTGACATTAAGTCCAGTCGTGTCTGACTCTGGGGGGTGGTGCTCATCTCCATTTCTAAACCGAAGAGCCGGTGTTGTCCTTATACACCTCCAAGGTCATGTGGCTAGCATGACTGCATGGAGCACTGTTATCTTCCCGCCGAAACGATACCTATTGATCTATTCACATTTGGCATGTTTTTAAAAAGTGCTAGGGTGGCAGAAGCTGGGCCTAATAGCGAGAGCTCACCCTGCCCCCAGGATTTGTACCACCAAGCTTTCGGCCAACACGTTCAGCAGCTTAACCCACTGTGCCACCAGGGGGCCCTGGAGTAATAATAATTATTTTATTTCTTGCCTGCCTCTTTTCTCAGCTCAAGACAGGTTACAGCATTACTAAAACATGAACAAATACATAAACATTTTATTTATTTATTTATTTTTCTATATTTATTAATATAGGCATACAATGTAAATGCTTGTTGCTTACAATGTTATATTTTCAAGTTGTTGATAATTCATTAGCATTTCTCACGTATTGTCTTTGTTTAAGGATCCTCTTGACCTGTTTGGGTAAGACAGAAAAGAGCATCATAGGTTTGTCTATTACTTTATAGTATCTCCTATGAGTATCTACCGGACTGATTGATAACTGGCAAATAGAGGGAGAAAACGTGGAGGCAGTGATAGACTTTATATTTCTAGCTGCAAAGATTACTGCAGACGCAGACTGCAGCCAGGAAATCAGAAGATGTTTACTTCTTGGGAGGAGAGCAATGACGAATCTTGATAAAATAGTGAAGAGTAGAGACATCACACTGGTAACAAAGATCCCCATAGTTAAAGCAATGATATTCCCCATAGTAACCTATGGATGTGAGAGCTGGACCATAAGGAAGGCTGAGCAAAGAAAGGCTGTGCGTTTCTACTTGATATCTGTCATTTTACTACTGTTATAAGTCGTATATATCCGATATGCAGAATATATTTTCATTCACTGGACCAAATTGAGCACAAATACCCAATATGCCCAAATGTGAACGGTAGTGGGGTTGGAGGAGGATTGATTTTGTAATTGATGGTATTTATAGTTCACTTATAATCAAAGAGCATTCTGGACTCCACCAGCAATGGATTTGAGCCAAATTTGGCACACAGAGCTCCCATGACCAACAGGAAACATGGAAGGCTTTGGTGGGCATTGACCTTGAGATTGGCAGTTGTAGTTCACCTATATCCAGAGAAGCACTGTGGATTCACATAATGATGGATCTGGACCAAACTTGGCACAAATATTCAATATGCTCAAATGTGAACACTAATGGAGTCTGGGGGAAATAGACCTTGACATTTGCTGGGATTTATAATTCACCTACAATCAAAGAGCATTCTGAACTCGACCAACAATAGAATTGGGTCAAACTTCCCACACAGAATCCACATGACCAACAAAAAATACTGTGTTTTCTTGATGGTCTTTTTGTGACCCCTTTGAACACCTCCTCATGACCCCCTCAGGGGTCCCGACCCCCAGGTTGAGAAACGCTGGTCTATATTATAGAATTGATACAGTTTGACACCCTTTTAACTAGGTTAATGTTAGGGGATTGCAGGAGTTGTAGTTTTACAAGACCTTTAGCCTAGTCTCCATTAACGGCCCATCTCCATTACCTTGTTCATGCCTAGCATTATTTTTTTAAACCTTAATTACATTTGGCCCTCCCACAGATTTTAAATGTGCACTGTACTTTGTTTAATGTGTATACTATTTGTGTATGACATTTATTTTAATTGCCTTATATTGTGTCTGTTATTGCTTGTATTGATGTATTGCGGGCTCGTCCTCATGTAAGACGCACCGAGTCCTATGGGGAGATGGTAGTGGGGTATAAATAAAGTATTATTATTATTATTAATAGTCTTCCAAAATGCTGATGCCCCACCAAACTATAACTCTCAGGATTCCATAGCATTGAGCCATGGCAGTTAAAATTGTGTCAAACAGCATTCATTCTAAAGTGTAGATCACTGGTTCTCAACCTTCCTAATGCCGTGACCCCTTAGTACAGTCCCTCATGTTGTGGTGACCCCCAACCATAATATTGTTTTCATTGCTACTTCATAAGTCATTACTACTGTTGTAAATCATAATGTAAATATCGGATATGCAAGATGTATTTTCATTCACTGGACCAAACTGGGCACAAATACCCAATGCACCACATGTAAATGCTAGTGGGGTTGGGGGAGGATTGATTTTGTAATTTGGGAGTTGTAGTTGCTGGGATTTATAGTTCACCTATAATCAAAGAGCATTCTGGACTCCACCAACGACGGAATTGGACCAACCTTAGCACACAGGACACCCATGACCAACAGGAAATACTGGAAGGGTTTGGTGGGCATTGACCTTGAGTTTGGGAGTTGTAGTTCACCTATATCCAGAGAGCACTGTGGACTCTAACAATAATGGATCTTGACCAAACTTGGCACAAATACTTATGCAAATGTGAACACTGGTGGAGTTTGGGGAAAATAGACCTTGACATTTAAGAGTTGTAGTTGCTGGGATTTATAGTTCACCTGCAATCAAAAGCATTCTGAGCCCCACCAATGATAACATTGGGCCAAACTTGGTACACAGAATTCCCATGACCAACAGAAAATACTGGAAGGGTTTGGTGGGTATTGACCTTGACTTTGGGAGTTGCAGTTCACCTATATCCAGAGAACACTGTGGACTCACGCAATGGTGGGTCTGGACCAAATTTGACACAAATACTCAATATGCGCAAATGTGAACACTGGTGGAGCTTGGGGATAATAGACCTTGACTTTTGGGAGTTGTAGTTGCTGGGATTTATAGTTCATTACAATCAAAGAACATTCTGAACTCCACCGATAGAATTGGCTCAAACTTCCCACATGGAATCCCCATGACCATCAGAAAATACTGTGTTTTCTGATGGTCTTTGGCGACCCCTCTGACACCCCTTCGCGACCCCCTCAGGGGTCCCGACCCCCAGGTTGAGAAACACTGGTGTAGATGTAAGCTTGGATCACTGCTTTTCCTGTTTTTCTATGGTCCAAAAATGTTTCTTTTAGGATGCTATTTCCACACTTTTCATTGGCCACCTCTCTTTCACCTGAGTGTGAAGCTTCAGTGGCTCTCCATAGAAAATGCTTAAGAGAGATTTCTCCATCTTCTAAAACTTAGCTCAAATCAGGAGACATCAGACATTCTTTGGTCAAATTCCAGGCTCTGTCCATAGCCTGAAGGGAAACCCATAGTAATAGATCTACTCTATAATGAAATTGCAGTGTATTTCCAGTCTTGGCTCCTCAACAGCATCCTTTGTTTTAAACATGTTTTAAACATTTCCAGGCTGGTAGCAATGTTATTCTCTTGCAGGACACAAAAGCACTGTGGTGCTTAAAGGCTGACATGTGTGATTTGTCATAAATGGTCATGAACTCCAGCTCAATTACATCTGATGAACTGCGTAGGAATGCACCAAAGCGCACGGCAAATAAAACCTGTTAGTCTTTAAGATGCCACATGACTTTCTATTGTATGTTGGGTTTACCTTTTAACAAAGCTACGATTCCAAAATTATTGCCTTCACTCCTGCAAATTAGTTAGCATTTATACCTATAGGTACATTGTGAAAAATAATAACTTTCAGCTCGAAAGGAAATATGTTCGAAAGGAAATAAGGGGTTTTAAAAGTGAAAAACATCAATGGCCTCCTCCTCTTCTTCTTCTTTTGTTTAGTTACACCTCACATTTTCTCTCCACAAGGAGACTCGTATGCAACGCACATAATTAGGGAGGCCACACAAGCCTTGTAACTATAAAGATAACTAAAATTACAGGCATGCTTTAGTTAACCAAGCTAATGAGTTATAAAGTCACAATACACTATAGTAAACAATTGCACTGTCATATTAAAACAAATAAATTAAAAGCTATTTTCATAGCCTTAATTTGAATTAGCTAATTAACTACTTTCTAAAAAGAGAAATGAGTAACATAAATCTTCCTATGCAGTTCAGTCATATGACTGCACT